TAAATGAAGAGGAAAACAGTGCACAGAGAAAATTACAAAAATAAAAATCACAAAGATTACAAAGCCAAGAATAAAGTTACTATACAAATGCATACCATAAGATCCTGTGCCTCTGTTAGGAATGGCTATAAAACTGACTCTTGGTTTTCTAGCAATCTACAGGAATACCTCAGAAGTGATCAGAGTTTTAAGAAAAAATTAATAATAGCTAATATTTTACTGAATCCCAACTTTTTCTAGGCATTCATTTAAATGCATTACATGTATTAACTCATTTAATACTCATCACAAATCTATGGGGTAGGTACTATCACAATACCCATTTTATAGATGAAGAAACTGAGGCACAGGGAGATTTAAACACTTTAGTAAACTTATACATCTGATAACTGGTTAAGCCAGAATCTGAATCCATGAGCTCTGGCTTCATGTGAAAAAAAGAAATTGCTAGAGAAAGACAATTAGTCCTGGTACCAAGAGCAGAGAGAAATATAAATGAATATTTTAAATATTATTTACAGTTTATAACAGAATCAGCTCTATGATTTTACCTATCTGCTAGCTACAATATTTCAAAACACATCTTTCCTGTTGTCCAGAGATATGAAGCAAGAGGGTGAGTCAAATGCCTAAATTTGGAACATCTCTGGAAAAACGACATCACTCTCTATCTAAAAATAAATGGAAGGTAGCTTTGTATAACTTTGAATTAGTTTGTTAACATCTAGGGATTCCTACTTTCTTTTCATCGGTATACAACCAGTGATTTTCATCTCTTTCAAACTACTTCCTATTATTTTTTCTAAGGAGTTTTTAATTTCAAGCTTAAAATTATTTTTCCCATAACTAAATGTGGACCGACAAACATAAGGATATTTAAGGATCTCCAAGAAAAGCATCATTTAGTATGTTCTAATATAAAAATAAATTGTGAATAGGCAGATAAACCTGCTGATTCAAGTGAACTGGATCTAAACTATTTAAATTATTTTTTACATAATGCAGGATCTGACAATGAGAACAGAACTTTATTCTAACTTTTTAACTACGTTACACTTCATAAATTACCTTCTATCAACCACCAAAAAGATTTTAGGTTTTTAAATAACTGTTACAACATCTTCTTTTTAGGTTTTCACCAGGTAACATTGAAATGGACAATAAAAACATACTGAATAGTATGAATCTAAAGTCAAAGGAGAGCAGAAATGTGTTATGCAATATGTATTATAGAGCATGACGTAATCTAGAATCAATCTGGATTGACCAAGCGCTCATCTCCAGAGTTGCCTAGAGCATGGTACTGACCCTTGGTGAAAGCTATGAAATGTACTAACCAGGGATAAATGCTGTTTTGCAAACATGGGTCTATGAGTTCTTTCAAGGCAAGTCATACCACCCTGTCAGAATTGTTTGGTAGTAATAATTGGATTTATTATTTGTACCTGGATTTGGTGGAGTCTGGAGGTTTTCAATAGTTGAGCTGGTGATGTAGGAGGAACATACCTACATGACCAGCTCACTATCAGAGACCCCTACCACACATAGACTTTGGCTTTCTTGGTACCAAGGTGCTTCATGCACATGCCCATGGTGGTTTAAAATGTGGAGACCAACAAATCCTGTGACACCCAGTGGAGGGATGATAAAGATGACTATGTCTGAGTTCTACACGTCCACCCCTTCAATGTTTCTTTCCCCTTCTGTTGCATCATTTCAGAATATAAAATGTTTGAATCCTGTGAGACCTTTTCCCATTCAATTACTTAAAGTAATTAACATGATATTAGCATAGTACTCATTGTGAGTGCTTAGTTTTAAGTGATATCAGTAAAATGGAGGAAATAATAATTGTTTACCAAAGCTCTGAGCCAGACCTGAGCTTCTGATCCCCCAGGAACCTAGCCTGATTTGAGCTGAACCACTTCTTCACAGTGGCCTAATATGCTATAACTCATTTAAATGATGTAGGGTTGAAAAACATATATACTCTTGGATGTTATCATATTAAAATATATATTATAATTTCTCTAGTATATTAAAAATGGCATATTAATGGAGTCTTCATTAGCACTACTAGATCATAAACTCAGGTGTAGCAATTCAAAGTTTAATAAAATAAAGCAGACTACGAGGTCAGAAAATGATTCTCTATAATTGTGGGTGAAGTCACAGAATTCACAGAATTCACTGTGTGATTTAACTCAAATCCAAATGCCGGCACCAATTTCATATACATTTCCAGGAAATAAATAAAAATCTTGATCTCCAATACTTAAAAAACAATCACCATCCAAATCTCAGTTTCAATTTTCTCATCACCACTAACTTCTTATCTTTCCCTTTCCTGGCTCTTTAAAGCCATGAGTTCTACACATTCCTCCCAGATCTGTGCTTAGTAGCTAGAAAAATTCAAACTAACTTTAGTAATTTTTCAGATATCCCTTTTTGAAAATAAATTTTAGTAACAACTAAATATGATATCTAAGTCACCAATGAATAAAAAATATAGAACCATACACATTTTAAATCTTCAGTTTAAAACAGTTCATTAAAAATACAGGTCTAGTTTTTGGATCCTGTTTTTGTGTTAATACCTTATAAAGAACTACCACGTAAAATACATTCAGAGGATTCAAATATTATTTTTAATAAGTTAAAATTGAGAAAGCACTTTTCCTTATATTCAATTAATTAAGATGCTGGGTTACATAATTTTAATCAATTAAGACCCAGGGTTAAATAATTTGAGGGAACAAAGGAGGCTAAAGGTCCCATTTCGATGTTAAGATTTTCACAAAGTAAATGAGGAAATAAGATGTACGCTTTTAAAAGATGATAGTAGACCTCAAGGTCAAAAAAGTGATATGAATGATGAGTGTTACCAGGAAGAAGAGATCACTAGGGGATACAGAGGTCAAGGAGGATTTCTTTTTTTTTTTTTTTTTAAAGATTTTATTTATTTTATTTTTCCCCCCAAAGCCCCAGTGGATAGTTGTATGTCGTAGCTGCACATCCTTCTAGTTGCTGTATGCGGGACTCGGCCTCAGGATGAACGGAGAAGTGGTGCCTCGATGCGCACCCGGGATCCGAACCCGGGCCACCAGCATCGCAGCACGCGCAGTTAACCACCAAGCCACAGGGCCGGCCCAAGGAGGATTTCTTGGAGGGCAAAGGAACTGCCCTCCTTCTAAACAGAAGAGAGTACTTTAAACAGAAAAAATGGCAGAGAGAAAGGCACAAAAACAATAATTCACAAGTCATGTTTGAAGGATGATGACCACACTAGTATGACTGTACCAGAGCATAAATATAGGGAGAATAAGTGATAAAATCGGGTAATGAAAGATTTTTAATACCGGGATAAAGAGCTTTGATTCTGCACAGAATGGAGGACCACTGAAGGTTTCTGAAGAGGAGAGGAACATGATGGATGCAGGATTATTATTTCTACCAACAGGTCTTAGTTCTTCTACTACTAGAGTTACGTAGAATGAGTCAATTCCTTTTTCCATGATAGCCCTTCATATATTTGAAAACTGCTATTATGTTCTTTCATTAGGGGCAAGGAAGACAAGGACAGATTGAAGAAGGGAGAGACTGAAATCAGGGAGACGAGTTAAGAAGCCATTTGCAATTTGTAGAAGACTTGAAATGATAACAGTACAAAATTATGAAGGGAGAAAAAGGGATAGCTATGATTTCAAGTAACTACAAACTTTTTTCCAACTGAGAAATGTTCTTATAAGTTGAATGTATATATTTATTTCACTTTAAAATTCATTTTAAAGCCTAATGGGCAGCTTCAAAAACATGTTCCATACTGTCACATGAAAGTGCTGTCTCAAGAACAGAAGACAGCAATCAGCAGAAAGACAACCACATTTACTGAGGGCCCCACCCATGCAGCTCTGAGATGGCATCAGACAGTTTTTCCTGTACTCTTTTCAATTATTTTACACGCTTTTCTCAGAACTACGTTCTTCTTGAAGCATCAACATAGCACACGTAAGTCATTTAGGTTGTATTCCTTAAACATTCCTTTCAGCATTAAAGAGTGCTTTTCAATTGAAAAAGTCTAAATTCTGAAACAGTTTAAGTTGTGCTTGTGCAACATAAAATATGCTGCAATAAAATCCTAATGTTATCTTCTTATAGCAATATTAACTCATCAGTATTTTCAGAATATTTGAGTTTCATTTTGCTGATAACATTAAAATACTTTCATAATTACACATACTAAACAATGTCCCCTTATGTGTTCCTTCATAGGATTTATGGAAAAGTATAAGACACAAGCAATACCATTTTAGATAATAAGTACCCTATGACCAAATAAAACGATTTCAAACCTTGACCTTAATTGGCTCAGGACTACTTTCTTATTTGTTTTCCAAACTACAATTTCCAGAAACCCAGGATTGGATACAAATTTCATGGTCCAAAAGAATGTACCCTCTGTCCTATTAAGTTGGAAAAGTTAGAGTTTACCAAAGATTAGCGATCTTTAAAACAATAAAGAGATCTTTTAAATGTATTTATTAACCTCAAATCATTCAGCCTGCTTGTCTAAACAACATGTATCATTGGATATATGTATAATCATTTCAATTTCAATTTACTGTATAACTGGTTTTATTAAAAGGACTTGGGATCTAAATTCATATTTATTGAGGATATAACTAGAAATTCTATCTTCCTAGAAATTCTTACTATATTAGCAATAAGCTCACTAACATAGCTCAGTAATTAACCATATTGTTTCACACTGTACACTTTATGTCTTCATGTCTTTCTAGAATACGATAATTTTTAGTTTTAAATTACATTTACATGCACTAATTTCAATAAAGAAGGAAATACTAAAAATTAAAGGCAAGTTTTTAGTATTTAAATAAAATTCTCCTAATTACATATATTTATAGGTACAATTACAGAAAACTAAAATTCAACAAAATATTAAGTAACCAAATTGTACATATCCAAAGCCATATATTTACCTGACATTGCCCTTGGTGTTTCTGAGAACTGTTGCAGCAAAATTCTGTGTGACACCCACCAAGCTGATTCCATCCACTTCCACAATCTGGTCATTGACTTGTATTCTTTGGGAAGGGGGAAAAAATTACCCACAATTAATTTTTCTGATAATACATTACCATTTTCAATAAATGAGTTGATGAAATCCTTAATTTTCAGATACTCTTAGTAACCCAAAATTTGCCTTTTATATAAAGACTCCAGATCTTAGTGAAAGGCTTAATGTTTTTAAAAGATTGTTTGGAAGAACAGAAATAAGCAATACTAAATGGAGAGATTCAGTTTACCCAACACCCATATTCCTACCCCAAAGAATTGATAACTGCTAATGTGTGACATATTTATATCATTTTTTGTCCTTAATAAATTACATAAAACATAGATCCCACTGAAATACCCTTTGGGCCTCAAACCTAGTCACGTATCCTACCTCTCCTCCCCGAGGAAAACCATCACCAGGAATCGCAGGAAATCCTTCCTATTCAAGTTGTATACTTGAAATACGTAATGCTCATAAGTGTACCCATAAGTGTTAGGTATACTCATGTACCCACGATCCAACTTTATCAAATCTCAGCACTGTGCAATATTTGAGTCATATTTTTTCTAAAGACATATATTACAGAAAAACTGAAGCCCCTTTATTGTCTCTAATTCTATTCCCTCCACGGCTCCCACAGAGGTAACAATCATACTAATTTTGATGTTTAGCCTTTCTCTCGATGTTTTGAAATAGAAATAGTAAGTATGCATGAGTAGGCACAATAGGTGCACATTTGCAGTTTTCAAACATTATGTAGTATAACTCGCTTTCTACAATTTAGTTTGCTTCATTCAATGTTATTTTTGAGATTTATCCATGGTTAAAAATACAATTCTAGCTAGTTCATTTTAACAACCACGTAGTATTATCTTTTATGAATATACCAAAATATATTCATCCATTATTTTGCACATAGACAATTGTATTGTTTTCCATTTTAGCTATTATGAATATTGTTGTAATAACCAATTTCATACATATCTCCTTAAGCACATGTGTGAACCTCTCTAGGATATATACTAAGAAACAGAATTCCTAAGTCAAAGAACATAGGCATTTCAAACTTAACAAACTGACACATTTCAGTTCAAAATGCTTATACCAATGCATAATCTATCTCAATAGCACTGTATGAAAGGTTCTGACTCTCCACATCTCGCCAATACTTGGTATATTCAGACCCTTTAAATACTGTTGATGTTATAAGTGTAAAAAGATATCAAATTGTGATTTTAATTGCATTTCCCTGATTACCAGTGTGGCTGAATGTTTTTTCATGTGTTTATGAGTCATCTGTCCACTTCTGCAAACTTTTAGATCATTTCCTTTACCCATTTTTGTTGATGTTGTTAGGTTGAATGTCTTTTTTCTTTGTCTTCATATATTCTGTATACTAACACTTTCTCAATTAAATAATTTGCAAATACCTTTGGCCTAACCTATACCTTGTCTTTTCACATTTCTTTGGAAAATGGTGGTTTTAAGGAAAACGATTTTTAAAAATATAATCACATTTGTAATTTTAGCTTTATATTAGGTAGTTTTTGTGCTTTGCTTAAGAACTCCCCTTCTGCCTCAAGATTATAAAAACATTCTATATTCCCTTCTAAAAGTTTTAACATTTTGATTTTCTGCATTTAGGTAGTTATTCACTTGGCAGTTATTTTTTTATATGTGTTAGCAATCTATTTGTATGTTTTCCAAGTGTATAAACAATTGGCTTAACAACATTTAATAAAGAGTTCACTTTTTCTCCACTGATTTGTAGGGCTCCCTCTGTCAGGTTTTCGAATGTGTAGCAACATGTTTTGGGTTCTCTATTGGTTTCCACTTGTCTCTGCATACTACACTGCTTCATTTCAAAGGGCAATTCTCTTCATCTAGTTCATTGTCTTCAAATTTTTCTGAGTTATTCTTGAGTTTTTTCTCTTCATAACTAGTTTTGGATTTACTTGCCAACTTCTATAAAATCACTTGTTGGGGTTTTAACGAAATTATACTGATTGTAAAGATTAGTTTGGGGAAAACTGACATCTTGATCATACTGACTCTTCCCATCAATAAAAATTGAGCGCTACTATAATTACCCTAGGCAAGTATTGTGTATATCATACGTTGTTGCCATGTGTTAAGAAAAGTTATTTAAAGCTTAGAAATAGGAATTAAAGGGGGGGCGAAATCTCCTTTCAATGTCATGTAGGTGCATTATTTAACAGGCCCAACCAAGGATAATTTGGTGGAGGTTGTATTTTAATTGATCCATTGTTTAAAACTGATTAAACATCCTGGACATACTGAAGGTGCATGTTAATTTGTAGATTTTTGCCCTGAATAAATTCAGATAATTTTCTTCTCTTAGAAGAGATAATCCCATAAGCTATAGTTTATTTCCCTGAAGAATGTTAACCAGTTTTGTATCTAATTTAGCAATGTTATTTGAACATTACTAACTTTCCTTTAAATACCTACTCCTAAAATGTTCTTTGAACCACATTTACCATCTCACTGGTTCAACTCACTATTTATTAGTGAGTTGAAAAAATCTCATACATGTTCATTTTATATTTATGAAAGTCCTTTTTTTAACTCTGAATATTACCCTATATTGGCTTTGGAGGTTCCACCAAGATGCCAGAGTGGCTTCACAAAGCCGATTCAACTGTATTACCACAGAAATGCACTTCACGGGCTGTTTAAGCCCAGGCACATATTTGCTTGGTAGCGAGAGGGATGCTAAAGCAAGAAATAGAACTTTATCTTTGCTACTAGCACTCTTTTTCTAATTTAGTACTTTTGCTTTTTTCTGGTTCTTGGCCATTTTGGTTCTGGATCATGTCTGCACTGGGTAACGATGACAACAACAATAAATAATTCCCCACTGGTAGCAGCAATGATTGGGAGTATAATTTTATAATCTGACCCTTCAAGACCTCTATTGGGATTGTTGGGATCTATTATCTCTCACGTGAGAAACGATAAAGAATTTCAGTTGCTGTCTTTTAATTTCTTTGTCTATTTGTGAGCTCAAACTATTTCATAAAATGATTTCACGAACACTAGGAAAGAAAAACAGTCCCCTGAAATCTTGACTGGTGAGTTTTTGTGTTTCTTTAATTAGTTAACCTGTTTCTGAGGTTGCAGAACTGAAGCTTATAAATTCTCTGTGTTGCTGTAATTGAGAGAAACCATTATCTCTCACTGTGTGAGTATGAAGTAGTTTCCTAATTTAGAAGGGTCTTAGTAAATTAAATTATAAGGTCTCTGAAATTAAAGGAGAGATAATCTAATTGGTTTATAAAGAATAATAAGCACTTTCATACATCTTATATTCTAGTATCTAATGAAACTTTAAATGTGCTAGACATTTAAGAAAAAAATCCTTCTTAGAGACTGCTAGCTCAGAAATATTTCTATATAAGAGCCCAAATTCACGTAATAAAAGTGACTCTTTGGGCAAATAAGACTAATTTAATAACTTTGATTTAAAATACACAGCTATGTTTTCTCCAAGATTTTGTAAAGGTTTTCATGAAGAGATTAATCTGAACTTTCTAAAATTCTAATATGGATACTGATCAACTAAGTGAACAGTACCCCTACATAAAGTTTAAAATTAAAAACATAAAAGATATAAAATTGTGTTCAACTAAACTGAATCATAATTCTGACAACTTTTATATCAATAGTAATTATGTTTTATAGAGTGTCAGCTTAAAACATGATTTCCAAGATTCTTAATTATCTCCAAAACCTTGGTCATAAAGCATAGTTTTTAATACATACAACTCTGCTTATGTTAAAATGTTACACAGTTACTATAACTTTGCATCACGTTGAAGAATGTGTTCATCCTTGTACTTTAAGAAGATATAAAAATAGTGTGTGGCTGCAGAAAATGATTTTTGCCAGTTTGCTAAATTGCTTGTGTATGATAGGCAATTATTATCCAGTTCCTAACTACCAGCAAAGGTCGTTAACTAGAAGTTAGTTAAACAGACTACAAGTTAAATTTAATATGGATAATTGAGATTTAAGCTAGCAGCAACAGTGATAGAAAAAAATATAATTGTGTAGGTGAGGTAAAGAGATATATTTTTGTTTTTCAAGAGAAAGAATGGTAGTTTAGTCCTAAAGTAAAGTGTCAGCCTGTTCTAGAATATGAAAGAACATAATGAAGACCAAAGCTTGAGTGTATATAGCAAGTTGAGGAAGGTTTGAAGAAATGATTTTTATTTACCTTGGTTTATACCATCTGAGGCCAAAAAGAAGCTATAAAATGGGCTGAATTTTTTGACAAAATTCACTCAGCTTTTAAAAACTTATTCATAATATAATTTAGAAGAAAAAAGTGTAGTTCTTCTACTACTAGAGTTACACAGAATGAGTCAATTCCTGTTTCCGTGATAGCCCTTCATATATTTGAAAACTGCTATTAAGTTCCTCCACAGATTGAAGAAGGGAGAGATTGAAATCAGGGAGACAGTTAAGCCATTTGCAGTTGGTACAACTTTGAAATGATAACAGCAGAAAATTATGAACGAGAGCTCCTTTTACCCTACATCCTCACCAGCATTTGGTGTTGCCAGTGTTTTGGATTTTGGCCATTCTAATAGGTGTACAGTGGTATCTCATCATTGTTTTAACTTGCAATAACTCACAGGTTGGGAGAAAATATTTATGCATCATGTATCTGATATGGGGCTTATAATTGAGAATATTATAAAAAATAGTTACAACCCAAAAAGACAAACAACCCAGTTTAAAATGGGCAAAGGGGCCGGCCCTGTGGCTTGGTGGTTAAGTGCGCGTGCTGCAATGCTGGTGGCCCGGGTTCGGATCCCGGGTGCGCATCGAGGCACCACTTCTCCGTCCATCCTGAGGCCGAGTCCCACATACAGCAACTAGAAGGATGTGCAGCTATGACATACAACTATCTACTGGGGCTTTGGGGGGAAAAAATTAAATAAATAAAATCTTTAAAAAAATCTTTAAAATGGGCAAAGGATCTGAATACGCATTTCT